TCACATTTTTCAAAAGACCTCCGCTAAAAATTCAAATCGATGTAGGTATTTCTCCGAGATAGTTCACCATAACGAATAATAAAGACAAATACCTTTAAGCATCCAATAATTATTTTCCTCATTCTGTTTTCTAAAACGTCTGGAATAAAAACGTCTGTTCTGCTCATTCAACGTAGCACAGCCTCAGAAAACAATTTCTGAAACATTCAAACAAGCATTTTAAATTCCTTGCTAGGTTAATTTATTTCCGAACAAATGATTTCATGTTCTTTGCGAAGTTCTTATTTCGAAAAAGCGAATTGATGTTCTTTGCAGATTTCTTATATAAACACATCACAGACGCATATAAAAATCAGTTTCTAGACTTTTTTTTTTTTTACTTACGCTTTAAGTTTTGTTTAGAATCAAAATCCATGGAACACATTGCCTTTTTGACTGAGACAGAAACCATGGACGTCCCAGACGCCAGAAAATGTGTCAAAAGAATATCAATCTATGAACCGTATTCTTGATGACGAATGTAGGAAAGGTATGAATTAAATGAGAATATATTCACAAAATAAGAGATGAATATCTTCGTCAGAAATACAAAACTTTTCTAGTACTCTCTATGTACGACAGTTTCTTTACAAAATCCGACAATAATAATAATAAACAAGAATGGGGTACACCATCAGTAACATTTCCGTTATCATTACACTCATAAACACACACATATGCATATATATATATATATATATATATATATATATATATATATATATATATATATATATATATATTAATTAAGAAAATTACATGCATATCATATAAACATATATATAATATATCACGTATTACACACACACACACACACACACACACACACACACACACACACACACACACATATATATATATATAATATATATATATATATATATATATATATATATATATATATATATATATATATTACATATATATGTATATATATGTATATAAGTATACATATATATATATATATATATATATATATATATATATATATATGATATTATTCTTGGTCATAACAATTATCATATATATATATATATATATATATATATATATATATATATATATATATATATATATATATATATATAGTATATATGAAAATATATTACTATCCTGGAAAAAAAGTGAAATTATCTTCGATGTTATTAACAACATTTCTTATTATAAAAGAAAATTTCATTTCCATAACAATCCCAGGGAATGACCCGACCCTCATATAATCTATTTTCGTCCTTATGACGAAACTGTCAAATCTTCCGTGGCCGTTGTCTGCGGTCACCGAAAAAACATTCTGCATCTTTTAGCTTCTAAGGAATGGCCAGAGTCTTTGCGAAAAGTATTTGTCATTCACCGACTATAATGTGACCCGGTTTCAGGTCGCGACCTCCCGAGCAAGGGCTTGGGCGACGCTGTCTCGAAGGACGTTCCTCTGGCAGACGGGGCCCTGGCCAGCGGACGCCCTTCCTGCCTCGGGCCGTGGGCGGGATGCCAAATCTGTCGGATGTTTCTCATTTAAATCGACTGAAATAAGCAAAGTCAAAATGACGATTTCACTTGTAGTATATTGTAGCTTGTGAAATGTTCAATTAATTCAACATATTTCCTTGAACGCTTTTACGCTTAAACTGTACGTTTATACATGCTTATGTATGTATTGTATATGTGTGCACTACTCGCGAGCGCACACACACACGTACATATATACATATATTGTATGTATATACATACATATATATATATATATATATATATATATATATATATATAGTATATATATATATATATATATATATATATATATATTATATATATATATATATATATATATATATATACACACATCTATATATATTATAACATAAGATTCAGAGATTTGCCTCCATTTCCTTCAATTTCTCTCATTTCTATCTTTCACCAAATATTTGTGCTTACCTTCCTCTCCCTTCTTCCCACTCCCTAGCATCAAGCACGCAAATTGCACAGCAATTTGGATGCTTGTCTTCCGTCTTCTCCTGATGACGCAAGCAAACAAGCTGAGTCACGCGTCTCATATATAAGGGACGCTCTGTCAAGCTCATTCAGTCTCCTTCTGCTCACCTTCGCAGTAAGTAATAAAGGAGCTTTCACTGCATGGAAGCTCATCTCATTACTTCAATTTTGACATGACTTTCATAGGAATGTAACCATTTTCAAAATTATTTGGCGGAGTAATATATAAATAATTATTGGTATGACTTTCATAGAGATGTGACCTGTTGCAGATTAAGAGATAATGGGTTACTGTATTTTTATCAAAACATTTAAACAGGAATATCAGATTAACAGTATGCATTGTCTGCATTCCAGAAAATGATGAAAGCCTTGACCTTCCTGGCTGCAGTGGCCGCAGTTTCTGCTTCTCCTACTCGATTTTTAACAAGTAAATAGCTAATAACAAAAGTACACATGGAAGCAGGAGTGAGTGGAAGAATGAAAGAGAGCGAAAGAGAGAGAAAGGACAACCTGTAATTTTACATTGCAAACAAAATACGTTTTTACAAACCAAATAAATGAAAGACTGCACAATCTAAGCACTGTCCATTCCGTATCTAACAGTATCTTTCCTTCAGATGTAACATGTGAGGGAGCTGATAATGTGACCTCGTGTGAGGCTGATGTGAGTACTGTTTTATTTTGTTTATTTAGTTTTTGGTCGCGTTGATAAGTTTGTTTGTTCGTTGGTTAGCAGGATAGGTCAAAGATATGAACAGATATATATATATCTGAAAAGATATTTCTTAGCATAATTTAGATATTAAATTTTGGTGGTGATCCGGATTACGGTTCAGATCCAGGATTTTTAAAAATGATTGCATCAGTTATCCCTATTTCCTTGTGCTTCTAGTTTCCTCATTTTATTTGAATTGTTCTGCTGGTCAATGTTATTGTTTCTGTGCAAGAAAAAATTAACATTGATTATCATAAACTAGTTTAAGATAGTCTGCCTAGTTTAGCAGTAATTCCAATCCTAAACGCACTTGATGTCTTCTTAAAGCTGCAAGTCTGCAAGAACCTCTTCGCAACTGAACATGATGAACAAACAAGGAGAGAAATATACAGGAAATGCCTCGATGGAAACGGCTTCAGCCATCTCGATGACGGTGAGGCTACAACTTCACTTTTTTTTTTTTTTTTCCTTTTTTTTGAGCCGCATTGATATCCACGTACCTGGAGGACTTTCATAACATTTGTAACCATTGTAGTGCAATGAGTCAAGATAAGGTTGATCATGCTACTCACAACATATTCATAAAGAGTAATGCTAATAACTGCAGTGCTGTTGCTAGTAGTGTTAGCAGTGACAATATGGGAAAATATCACATCTTTTACCAAACATTGAAAAAAACAAAAGAAATTATTAATGATCCTTTCCTCGCTCTCCAGTGGACCCTGAGCTCCTCTTCAGCCCCACAGACGCACAGGCTCTGGCGCTCTTTGGTTCCGAGGAGAACCACCTGGCAGTGAAGCAGTGCGTCCTGCAGGAGCGTGGAGAGGTAAGTCCAAGGGCATGGCCCTCTTAAGGCGTGTGGGAAATGTAAAGTATATATTATTTAACGACTCGAAAGACCAATTATTTGAGGATACTGACTGTACTTTAAACATTTGTTCCCTCATCAGTAACCTTTATTGCTCCGTATAAGTAGATGACTACAGTCACATGACCTGTTTTCTCACATTCCCATGATCATTATCACCCCCCCCCCCTCCTTCGCTCCCAGGTGAGGCCTGACGGAACAGTCGACCCTCAGCCCTTCCTGGACAGGCTGACTCCCGCCCTTAACGACACTCGTCCTGACCTCCTCGACCGCCTCGTTTCTGGCGCAGAGTCCTGCTCGCCTCAAAGCGTAAGTTCTGCTCCTTCCCCATTATGCTTTAGGAAGAATTCATGTCTCATACATTCACACAGATTAAGCACTTTCCTTCACTCTTCTCTAATCCCTCTTTCTGTATTCACATTTTGTGTCCCTATTTCGGCATTACGTGTTATTTCGGTGTCCATTAATTTTTCTTTTCTTTTCAGATTGAGGAGTGGGAGGCCTGCATCTTCTACGAATGCTTCCTGGGGGATTTCACAACACCTGTGCCTACAACTGTTGTTCCTGAGGAGTAATGGTGTGAAATCATTCCTTTCTCCCGGAAATCTTCATGCCACGACAGTGTAAATTAAACTATAATGACTATAAAAGATTTCGAATTATTATCATCCATTTCTTTATACTTTTTCAAAAGATCTCCGCTCAAAAATAATAGACATTTTTTCTAAATACGGAATGACGTTAAATTGAAATGAAAGACCTTTCTCCGAGATAGTTCCCCATCATGAATAATAAAGACCAATACCCTGAAGCATTTGGTAATTATATTTTCCTCATTCTATTTTCTACACTCAATTGGAATAAAAAAGTATGTTCTTCTCATTCAACGTAGCACACCCTCAGAAAACAGATTTATGAAAATTCAAGCAAACATTTAAAATTCCTTGCTAGGTTCATTGATTTTCGAACAAATGATTCCACGTTATTTGCAGATTTTATATTTAAAAAAGGGAACAGATTTCTTTGCAGATTTTATAATAAACACATCAGCGACGCATATAAAAGATCAGTTACTGGACTTTTTTTCGTAAAAGTCACGCTTTGAGTTTTGCATAGAACCACAAATCATGGAACACATTACCCCTTTTACTGAGACTCAGAAACCATGGACGTCCCAGACGCCAGAAAATGTGTAAAAAGAATATTACTCTATGAACCGTATTCGTGTTGACGAATGTGAGAAAGGTATGAATGAGAATGAATATCTTCACAATACAAGATATTAATTTAAGCGGTTTCGAAGCCATCTCCATGAATTATCCAATATATATTATATATATATATATATATATATATATATATATATATATATATATATATATATAT